AGCCACACCCAGTTGTTCAATATCCTATCAAATAAAAAGGGAAGGTGTGCTTGGCCTGGGTTGGAAAACAGTTCTTATCGCCTTTCACCGTACCGTACACCAATGGCTTGATGATGTGAAAGCCGTTTAAATCCCAAACTAAAATGTTTCATGATTTCTGCAGATTAATCTGCCAATTCACGTGCTCAGTGACAGTCAATGTTTCTTGTTCTGCAAGGAGACAACCTGATATCAGAGTTTGAGAGGATCATGAAGGATCACGCAAAAGTCAAGCACAACGAGTTATGTGTTAGCACAGTGAGACTGTGTTCTTCTTCGTTTCATCCCATTGCATCGACGACCGCACATCTGCGTAGAATAAATAATAATGTTTTGCAGCCTCATCGATATTGGATCAGTTTTACGAGATCCTGTCATTTTTGTGATGGTCTTCTCATTGATTGCGTGCTAAGGACATTCGCGTCGCAAAGCGGACATCGTCTATTTGGTGCCAACGATTCGGTCATCTTAATCCGCTTGTCTACAGCCACTGTTGACATATTATTTCATATCTATTCTCACTATGACTACAACATTTGAACTAAATCATATTATTTTGCTCCTAAACTTAATATTAAAGTTTTCATTCCTGTCGCATCCAGTTTTCTGCTGCCGCCTCCAAATCATAGGTCAAGATATCCACACACATATATGCCATATATACCATATGGACATATACCACGCTTTGTGGGATCGTCTACATCTTGTCTTTCCATGGCTTGCTGACTGTTAATATCAGCACATAGTGGCCTTAACAACTTTTGATGCTCGTCCATTCGCAGTCAAGATACTTCCAGGGTACATCCTTAATGAGACCTTTCCCAAAACTTCACTGGTGTCAAAGGGTAAGACAGTTGCTGGCCTAATTTGGCCATTTACCTAAGTTAGGAAGAATAACGCTATAGTTTCAAAGTTGACGGCTAGCAGTAAATCTTATCTTCATATGCAACAAAGTTTACACAGACGGCACATACTTCTGAAGTAATTTTAGCCTCGTCCTCGGGTACCGATTGCAGCACCCTGGAAAATTATTCGTGAGCAGCAGAGAAGATTGCTCAAATCATTACGCTATCAGTTATCAGTCCGCTGTAACTCATGTCCGGAATGCTAGCGCGGCAGGCACTCACTGGCTTAGAAAATCTGATGTTGAGTTGTAAAGTTGCCTGATCATCTTCCCCAGCCATACGACAGAAGAGTTTTGACAACTACGGCAAGGTCATTAAATCAGTACACGTCATCGTTGATATTAACAGTCGCGAATCTAA